TTTACTGTCCTGTAATAGATTGTTACTGAAGTTCAAGGGGAGCAAGCTCTCTTCATGCACCAAACTTTGTGCTCCAGGTGATGCACAAGAACAAGCCAAAAAGCAGTCATCACCCTTGTGGAACCTACAAAGGTTCTTACGAACTTTGCAGGCTGAAGCCCAATTAATTCAGTCTAAGCTGGAAGTTCTCTACAGCCACCTAAGGCTTTGGGCATTGTGTTCTGCAACAAATGCATTTTTAAATGCAATAGAATTGTGTAAACACTAGCAAATATAAGCTGTTCTCTTTTCCCTATATTCAATCTGATCCCCAGATCTCTTATCTGTAGTTTATTTCTCTGTTTGGTACACATGAACAGCAAATGCCATTTCAACCAAATGCTTTTTTGTCTGTTAATCCATGCAGACTAAATACATCAAAAGTTAAATATTTTGATTGGAAATTTTCTGTAGCTTTGCAAACAAAGATTAAAAAAACCCAGTGTAAATTGGACTGGAAAAAAATAATCTCAGTTTTCTGAAGAAAGTTTATTATCTCCCCAGCTCCACTAGTTATATGCTTAGAGTTTAATATTCTTATAAAAAAGTCATTTTCTCTAAAAGAACTCAGGTATAAGCAATCCCTTATTTACACTAGCAGGAGCTGGGAAACAAAAAAAGCCCACAAACCCAAACAAAGCAGGAGTAGTCAAGGCTCTTTTATATCACATCATATCACACCATATCATATCATATCATCATATCATATCATTTTTCTTTCCCCATGGCTGAGGGTTTCTGTCTCAGTCAAGTCAGCCTTGCATGAAAAAACTCCTGTGCTTCATGTATTCCCCAGACATTGAGAAGAACACAGTGAAAACCACGCCAAAACATTACAGGCATCTAATCAGCATGATGTGAGCTCTCGCAGCCTGTGACGCCTGGTGACTAACGGGAGTCTGTAATTCTCATCCAGAATTAACAGTTCAGGTCACCGAGAAGCTCAGGTTCCTCAGGATCTGGGAGATCTTGAATGCAAACCGCCCCAAGGGAAAGCATCTTAACTTTAACAATTCTTTCTCTCACACGACCGCTTCAGCACATCTCCTAACCTAAATGTGGAGATGCTGCATTGTATTCCTTGGGGAAGCTTTGTTCCCCCCTCCCCATATGGGTGTACCTAATCTCAAACGCAGCAAACTGTGATGCATTTTAAAGTTTTTCTTGCCTCTTTGAAGAGCGCTGGAGGTGTAAAACTTTGAAATCAGGTAGACCTCAAAGGAACATCAGTGCCCAAGAAGGACAACCGGTCCTAAAGATTAAAAGGCTCTTAATAGAAGAGAAAACCTATAAACACAGGACTCAAAGGAAATAATTTTCGTCGGGCTCTGGACACCCCTGCCACAGCATGGTGCTAAGGACTAAACCACAGCAAGCTTTGTAGTGCTTCAGACTTACAAAGGATTTTGCCCACTTACGTATTAGAGACAAATAGGAGCTTTTCATCCACAAATGTCCTTAGTTTCCCCCTTTATAAAAGGATCCTTGTCTCCAGCCCAGCTATACTGGGTAGGGACAGGTGAGGGTACTCACCAGTGGGCCCTTGGGTAGGCTACCTTGCGATTGTAACTGCACCGTGATCACAAATTCATGTGTGTACATACCAAAACCTGTACACTATTACATGATTCAGTTGACCTTAATGTTCAGCACTGACTTTGCATTTAATTATTTTTCAAGGTCAATATCTGAATACTTGGGCTGTATTTAACAGCGTCAATAAGTAGCTAGATCATTTTAATTGCTATGAACAGCATCGCTTCTCCATGCTGCCTCTCAGTCTGTATTCGTTGCACATCTCTATTGTAAACTCCCTAGGCCACGGTGTTCAGTTTTGTGGGTTTTAGTACCTAGCACAACAGGGTCTTCCTCCATGGTAATTTAATGCTACAGCACTGCTACTAGTAAATAATTGTGATCATCGCTTTTTATTCCATATCACAGGATATCTTCTCATGTATTCTGAGGATGCTCTGCTTTGATCACTGCTGTGAAGGCCAGTATTTAGCAGGATATATATTTTTCAGTTTGCCCACTGTACAATCTATTATTAGAGCGCAGCTTCAGCCCTCATGTGCCTTTTCATGCATAGCAAAGATCTCTTTTCTCCACTGTTAGCAGCATTAATGATACCCTTCTAAAAATGATGTGTGAATAGCATCATTAAACTGCCTTGCCTTGCAAGTGCAGGTGTAAAGGGGTTTTTTTTGTGTGTGTTGTGCATATGGAGAAATGATATATTACATTATAAAAACGAGGTATAAGCTGTGAGAAGAAATAGGAAAGACAACACAGAGAGCTAGATGATCATTGTAGGGTCCTTCCAACTGAACTATTCTGCTCTATTCTTCTATATTGTATTCTACTCTATCCTGAGCTTAGCTCACTTGCTCCAACTTACTCAACTCTTCTTCCAGACCAAAGGAGCCTTCAAACCCAAGGTGTTTCGGTGTTTCTCTCGGTGTTTCAAGTAAACTCAGCAGGTGAAAACCATATCCCTATTGGGACAGCCATTCAGCAAGGCTGTTGGCATAGGTGAAGCCCTGTTTTAGCAGTACTAACCTGGGACTCCTGAATTACAGTAGATTCCCATTAGAGTTAACAAGCTGGGCCAGAAATATTGGTTCTTATTCTGGTTTATTTTGCGCTAAAGTGAATGCATTCTAGCATGGCCCACCAAATACCCTGACCACACGCCACTCAGATCAACCAGGTACCTCAACAAGTGGCAGGGGCTGCTTTGTCCAGCTTATCTGAGGAACAACAATCTCACCTTTCCAAAGGAAGTCTTAATTGTGCTTTAAAGGAAATAAAAGTGAAATTTAATTAATGTATACTTGACCTTCTTTACAGGATTTCACACTCTATATTAACCATTTTCATTTCGCAGAGTTTACTACCAGCTTTATGTAAAAAAATCTTCCTTTCTGAGCAGGACATACCTATGTGTTCATTTAAACAATCTAAATTATTTCTCTCTGTTACGTTCTTACCTAAAGAATATGGTATTTGGCTTAGTTTGAGGGCAAGCTTGTGTACCTAAGTGTCCCATTTGTAAATATACATTCATAGTATTAGGTACCTACATGCTTGTATTTGTGTGAGTGTTTGTCAGTCTGCAGCAAAAGAAGCTGGATCAGAAAGTCAGGGGAGCATTAAGAAGAGGTAATTACCTAAGGCTGCCAGAAGAGTTTAAAGTGGCTGAGGGTTGACCCTGTTGGCAGTGGTACATTTTTCATGGACCACACTGGAAAACAAAATGCCAAATTGGAACAGTCCTGTGAAAAGGTAGTTTTCCTTTCAGAGCCAGATCAAAAGGGGAGCCATTCGTCGTAAACTAGGATTGGAACAATAAAGTCAGCTGCTCAGGTGGGACAACAGCAGGTCTGGTAAGATAGTGTGATGGGTATGACTGCGTAGATACTGCTGATGATACGTAACTTTGAAGAAGCTGTGGTCACCTGGTGCCTACCCAAAAACAAGAATGCAGTTCAAGCGTTACTGAAAATGCCAGAGTCTCTCTTTGTCCCTTGCTGAGTCTCTCTCTTCTACAGTCTCCTGCTCTCTGTGCCACATAAGGCCTCCTCTTGCACGATGAAATGGAATAGTGATACACACTTTTTAGTCTAGGAGTATCTATAGGTTTGGCACATTTATTTTTCAGTGTGGGTTGGTCATATGTTAGAGATTAGAGAAAAAGAGACTTGTAGCTTCGTCTGTGTAGCTGTGAATTAAGGGGATGGACATTAGTTGCAGCTGCAGCTGCATCTTTCGGTGTTTCCTTAGGATTTTGTGAGCAGAAACAGATTATAACTAGATAAAAAATGAATCAAGACTTTAATTATAGACTCTGAAATATCCTTAAATCAATGCCTTTGCAACAGGGCATTTTCCAGAGCAGAATGGTGTGATACAAGGCAGTCTGCTGCTTCAGAGGTGTTTTATGGCTTTGAAGCGGCTAGGTGGGGTGATATGAATGGGTTAAGCCCCTCTGTTTGAGTGAGTGTGTGAGAAGCTTTGACAGTTAGGCTTCATGAGTGCAACCATGAAATTAATTCTTGCCAGGGAAAACAAACCACAGACAGAGCCACTCACACACCAATTAGTCACAGTTTGCAAGGTTAGCTAAAGTTTATCAAAATCCCCAGCCAAAAAATGTCATTAAGATACAGTTAAGGTTATAGACAGATATCAATTCCCAGGCAAGAAACTTCATTAAGGTACACTCAAGGTGGTAAACACATGTGCCAATTAAATTCAAACAACAAGACCCAAACACTGTCATTATTTACAATGTTAAATATTTGGAAATTACAAGTTACTGCTAGAGATAATATGGTTTCTATAAAGTTCATAATCATGTTTCAACAAGCTAAACTTCTGCCACTGTTCAGTATTACCTTACCTTCTATTTCTAGCTGTGATGCTCCCTGCCATGGGATATTGTGAAAGCTAAAAGTCTACATGGGTTCAAATAATTCTGCACAGATTTGTGGAAGAAAAAGCCAACTGTAGGTACAGAAAGCAAAGCAGGCACTGTTTACTCTAGAGTACCCTGAGCCACAAGTCCTGAAGACCTGGAGAATATTCTGAGGAAAATGTCTTTCAGCTTGCCTTGTTCTTGTGTACGTCCATAAAGATCAGATGGGCCGCTCACGAAGATGGGCTGTTGAGGTGGGTGGTCCTTTAGCCTGAAGCAGTACTGCTGCCGTCACAGCATTCCCTGCAGTCACAGCACAACAGTAGACTGGAGCTCCTGTATAAGGAGGCCATCACAAGCAGTCTTAGAGAATATAGGATGCAAACCAAGCAATTAACTGTGAAATCCTTACAACTAGATTCCAACTGAAAGGTTTAGAAGGGACACTCTGCCTCTTAAATGCAATGTTAGACCCTTGAGATATTATTTAATTAGATTTTTCATTATAGCATAGTTGTGAACATTGTCTTTTCTCTTTTAGCTTCAATAGTGATTGGGAAATGGTGGTGTGAGATGGAGCCCTGCCTAGAAGGAGAGGAATGTAAGACGTTGCCTGATAATTCTGGATGGATGTGTGCGACTGGCAATAAAATCAAGACCACCAGAGTAAGTCGTCTTTCTGTCTATACCCAGGAGGCCTTAACAGAAAGGGGAGTCACTAATGATTGTTCACCCATATCTTTTCCATCATCATGTCTGCTGTAAAAGTCTTAAAGATCACTGCATACCTCCTTAGCCACGAAGCGCTTCTGGCCATAATTTAGTGAGAATTCAGAGGGATGCAGGCTGTTTGTCTGGGTCTGGGCTTGATAACTGGCAGGTTGGAGCTGCTGAATCACCAGGTCACTTTCTTACAGACATTGTCAGCTCAGAAAAAAAGCCAGTGCACATCACTGAGACCCTTTCTGGTGGCTAAAGGGAAGAATATTAGCTCAAAGGGATCTGCTGGATCCTACATCCATTCCTTGGCTGTTCCAGCCCACACCTGTACTAGCAGCTGTGTGGGTGCTTCGTAGCATGAAGCAGAGCTGAGGGCTCAACTCACCATCTGCATTTCAGGTCTCACTTCAGAGCAGCTCTAGCCCCACACACCCGTTAGTGACACACTCTTGAGGTGCTGAAGATGCAGGTAACAGAGACCAAGAGGTGGTGACAACTTTCACCATGCATTGCTAGGAAAATGCAAAGATATGGCTGCAAAGAGAGCGCGAATGAGCTGGCTAAACTGTTCCCACCCTGAGATTACTGTTGCAAAAAAAAACCCTGTTTTTCAAAAACAGATTCTAGCTTTTGTTTTTGCATTGTGCAACTGCTTCACAATCGTTTTCTTGAAACTGCCACCTATACCTGTATTCAACAATTTTAACTAAATTATTTTCATACCATGATTGAATTTTTTTCTGAGAAAATTACGTCGTTGTCAACTAAAAATATTTTTTATATAATAATAAATTTTGATTTTCAGTGAAGTGGAAAATAACTTTTGAAACCTGCTAAATGAAAAAAGCAAATTTTCAAGAAATTTTTCCCTGTTTATTTAGAAGTTCTAAATATTCATACCCAGCTACTAATTCACAGGAACAAGAAGCTTAGTGTCATGATTTCCTGACTTCTTTCTTTTTCTACAATCCTAACTCTAGTCATTTTTCACGTCTTCTAGGCCTTTTGTTGAAGAAGGAGATTTTACCCCAACTGATCCCCATGCCATCTGAATTATTTTTTTCCCTCCATATGATTTACCCCAGGATGAATGATTTCCATTCGCAAATCAAAATTGAACGGTGCCTTCTGGCATGGTTAATCTCACCACAACATTAAATTATTAGGATACATACTAATTTAGGAGGTTTTCTTTGCAGAAGGCAGTAAGTGACCCCCCGAAAACAGGATGCATACTATCTCTTTGCCATCTCCCAGAGTAAAGGAGAAAGCATGGAGGGAACTGTGATTTCTTGATTCAATTTCTTCCTGCAGTGTCACTGTTGCTGCAAACCACCCTATGCTCACAACAGATCTCTCCACGCTGAAGCACCACTGGAAGAACGCACCCTAATGTATGTGCCTTGCAGAGCAACTAAAAAAAAAAACAACAGACATACTACACGTACTTTTCAGTGAGGCAACACTTTTCTCACTGAATTGGGGAATTAAAATGGAAGAAGGTGATATTAAAGAAGTAATGAGCAACACGAAGTAGTTGGTTATACTTTTGTTAAATTACAAAAATTCGGTACTTCTGCAGTCTGTTTGCAAATTATATAACTTAGGAATTGCATTTGCTTTTTCCTGTGAAATCGTCCTGCTCTTAACTCCCCCAACCCTCATCATATAAACTAGTTTTAGGCGATAGCCTGCATCTAGAAATGATTGCTAGAAATTCAGCAGCTTCATTAATATGCAGATGTATGGTCCAATCTATTCAGTATGCATTATTGTATTTCATTTAAATTAAATACTTACAGTTTGAGTGCTCATAACTGAAAAAAATATTTCTTCATTTACCCACAGGAGTTATTTTAATTAGCTTGTGAGGGAAGTACCTTATGGTGCCGCTTCCAGTAGAATTTTGCTTTGTGGCTTTAAAATATCATTACAGAACCCAAGTGACAAAGGCAACATGACATGATGTGCTTAGCAACTGTCTCTTGCATTTTCTAAGCAAAAATTCTACTTCATAATCCCTGAAACTTTGCTTGAATCCGTACTGCTGCGTCAAGTCTATCAAGATAAATATAAAATAATGGAAGCAATCAGATCCTGAAACAGGCATTTTTTTCTTTGTTTTGTCATTTCAGATGGCATCAGAGAAAAAGATTACACTATAATCTGTACTGACCCCAATCCAGGCTGCAAGATTGGGCCATGTGTGTCTAATTTATGTAGTTAAGGAAGTTAAGAAAGCAGAAGAAACAAGACAAATCAGTCAACATCCTAGAAATATCTGTGGTGATTAGCCAAAACGCTAGAGCAAGTCACCATAGGCTGTAAACTGTAAACGGTTTTAATGAAGGCTTTCCCTTACACTAAATACATTTACGTTAGGCAGCTGCTGTCCTGACAAGGAAAACATTCACATTGATGACTCACAGGATTAAAATAAGTATTAGTATAGTCTTCAAGGCCCACAGTAAGTCACATATAAGCATGGGTGTATGGGTGTGTACATATATATATGAATATATGTAACTTCTCAGTGTAATGTATTACTTCATGGATGATTCTCAGATTAATACTGATTAGTGTCAGAGGAAGGCGGACAACAGATCCACTGAAGGCTTTGCCAGCACATCTTCCCACTCCTTCCTTTTCATACATTTATTCCTGTGTTTAGTCCTTTATCATAGTTCACTAATTAAGTTGTTAGAGCCAAAGATATAAAGCTCACAGCCTCTGTAAATCGATTTGTTTTCTATTGATGGTCAGAGCAGGTGACAAACACTGGGAAGAAATCATTTTGTAATTCAATTTTTGGAGCCGTTTCAATGTTTTTTTCAATCCCTATTCACTCCTCTTTTTTTCAAGAACACAAGTTTCAATGCTTTCCTTAAAAATGCGGGGCTCTTGGAGCTGTACTAAGACCCGGGTGGAGATCACATCACTATGTTTCAGCAGAACAACCGGCACATGGGAGACGCAAGGGCACGGTCTCAGTCTGGGTGCTGGGAGATGGTGCCCACAAGGCACATAAAAGCCTTGCTGAACCAGAGCTGCTGAAAACCATGAAACACAGCTCTCTGTGCACCCCGTGTTTTGTCACTTCCCATCTGAGTGAGGGAGTCACTCACAAGCTCTTGACATTGGATTGGTGTCTGCGCACAACTCCCGCACATCGCTTTGCAGGGCCCCTGAGGAGCGCAGTGCTCTTCCCCAGGGCTTCCTGCCTGGGCTCATGTGCACATGGTGCTGCAAAATGCACTTTTTATGTAATCCACACTAATAACACCTGGCATTCATGTGCTAGTGTTTAGATACTTCAACAAGCAGTTTTTCTGCTGATACTGTGGAGAATGCAAATTGAAGCGTTGAGCACTTGGGGCTCAGCTCGGAGCATCTCTCCCAGCTTCACAGCCTGCATCCTCCATTACAGCCCACCTACCCCCCAGTTTCCAGAGTAACACTTGGTTTACCGTACATTTTGCCATCGGAGAAATGCAGGCCGTTTTACAGTGCCCCGAGGGACCCGAGCATCACGTTTCTTAGCAGCCGCTGCTCATCTCATGCTGCACCTGAGGTGTCCACAGCCCCTTGGCACCATGGTCCCTGGTCATTCACTGCTCCTACGCCAACCACACGAATTCTTGAGGCAGTGTGCAAACGAGAAGGGTTGTATTCATCCCCAAGAGAGAAAACTCAGCAGGGTCACTTGTCAGTGGCAAACCAGGAGAGCAGAAAATGGGAAATGGGGGAAGGAAGGAAATGGTAAATGAACATAGAGGTTTATTTTCTTTTTTTTAAGATGTTCAACTAGGTTAATACGTCAGATGATTTCCAAATTGAAGTTTTCTTTACAGCAGTGAATAAACCCCTTTATTTTTGTGATAAAAGTCTTTGTAATTAAGAGGTCAATTCAAAGCAGTAGAGCACAGGATAGTAAATATCTCTTGCTGTAGGACTTACTGCTGCATTTCATCATATCACCTAGTGCTTAGCTAATAATTTATAGCCCTGATCTAATGCCCGAGCCTGCTCGTATACAAGTCAGTTTGTGTTTCATTGCTGACCTAGTCGTCCAGCAAAGGGCTGGACCCCTTGTGCTGCTCATCTGTGTGTATCGGTGTGAGAAAGAAACAAAAGCCTCTCCTCAAGAAAGATATTTTTGCTTCTGGTCAGTCGTTCTTATTTCAGTCTCCTAAAGAAAACCTCTGGGCGGTGTTGTTTCCTCTTCAAGCCATTAGTGCGTTCACTCAGATCAGTTGTGGTGTTAGTCATAAAGAGCGATGGTTTTACGGTCTGTTGCAGGCCATGTTATCTCTCCCAAGGTGAGTAGATGAAGTCGGTCAGACTTTCCAGTCTATTATATAGCTAGTCACTCCCATCCTGCCCCTCCTTGGATAAGTGGGTTGGTGGAGGTCCAAATGAACCTGAAAGATGGATCCACCTACATGTCCTTGTCCAGCAGAAGCTACTAGCATCACTCTGAGAAGGGGAGAGTGGAAGGCTGGGATGAGCATGGCCCCATGCCCAAAGCTGTCCTAGCACCTCCTGCACCACCAGCCCAGGCGATGGGTGCGCATCCAGGATCTCCCAAGGCACAGGCAGGAGCTCACTCAGGGCCTGCCTTTTGCACATCCTTAAATCCCTGCAGTCCCAAGAGAACCCCCCCCCCCAAAAAAAAATATTGTGACTTAAAGTCAGCTATAGCATGAGTAGGGCAAATTGCCACAAAGCCTGGATTTTTCTTTCCTCTTATAACGTATTTTATATATCTGACTCTCACACTTTCTTACTGCAGATCCACCCGAGGACCTAACAGAGCGCCGTCTGCCTGGAGACAGTGAAAGCCCTGCTGATTTATGAGGACAAAGTATTGAAAATTTAAAACCATCTCAGCATTTACAAGCCAAATGGATTTCTTATTTGCACTTAGACTGTTTACCAGATAACAACAGTGGCTTTACTGTGTGAAAGAAAGTATTCAGTGGAAATAACGCCCCTGGTTTTTGACAGCTGAAAATAAAAATGAAGAAAATGGTTCCTTTGGTAAAGTTTCCAAGATTGCAAAGTACAAACAACAGTTTAAGTTTGGATCTACAAATTACTTTATACCAGTTAAAGTATATATATAGAAATATATATATATTATTATATGATATTTTGAAATAAAAGCCTCGCTCTTCAAGAAATTGAATAGTACCACACTTTGCTGCAGCTGCTGGGGTTTTTTTATTTTTTTTTTTGTAACGGGCTGGAAGATCCCTACCTGTTTCAGAGAGAAATGTGGCAGTGAAGAGGCAAAGCAAACCTGCTGCGGTACAAGGACGCCTAAGAGCTACACGAATCCTACCGATGCGGCATTCAGAGTTTCCTGTTCCCTTCGGCAGAATTTCGAGGGCATTTGTTGTTCCACTTTGTGTTCTGGAGGCTTTTCCCCTTGTGCAATACTAGCATGCTGGCTTTGCTTCGTTAACCATACTTGATTGATATATAACAATGATAATTCTATCCTCTTCCAAGAAAATATTTTTAGAGCTGTTAGATATTCCATGAAGAAGAGACGGACAGCTACTGAGTGAAGTACAGTATGTATTAAAAGTTTATTTGGCAGAGTTTGGTAGACTGTGAGCTCCCTTCTTATTAAAGATGTACTGTACGTACAATGTCTTCAGACTTTGTATAGCTCGTAGAGACTACAGTAAAAACCCAGTAACCAACTCCAAAGCTTTGCGTTGTTGGCTCACTAATTCTTTGGAACAACAACAAAGCTATTTCTTTCCAGACCAACATGCGAGAGGGCTTTTACATACGGTTTGGTTTTTTACGAGCCCATTTGCAGTTGGTGAACAAGCATCTCAGCTTAAGCGAATGCCTCTGTGGACACCTCGAATGCTCAGGCACACCATCACGCGAGGGACTGCCTGGCTGTGCGCTCTTATCCCACAGCACACGTGGGAGAATGACCTAAATTTAAGCTTCCCTCGTTGCAAGCCAGGCTAATGCTCATTGAGAGCATTTGCCACCAGCTAAAAGCATACACGTTGGCAATTCCATGGCACAGTAAATGCACAAAGGGTTGTGGTAAACAAATTGTGTCTGAGCACTCCTTTTGTTTGAGGAATAGTTTCTTTCAGTTTGATTTAATCTGTTTCTTACTAAGGTGAATTCAGCTAAGATGAGGTGCACTTCAGCAAGGGTGCGTCCACAGAGACATCGATCCACTCGCTGCGAGCGGTTTGAATTCCCATTTCTAGCTAAGCTGATGCTGTTCACCATGCTGCCCGGCCCTTGCATTTCTGAAGAAAGATTGAATCTGAGGGCTGAAATGCGCAAGCCTAGTTCACATTCCCAGGCACTTTTGTGAGCAGTTCAATTAATTTCAGGGGGTTTATTCGTGTGGAAAAGTATCTCGCTGTCACGAACAAGTCTGCGCAATCTACCCTTCAGTACGCCTAATGCGATCAAATCAAAGAGGAATAGGGAATTGTAAAACTTGTTCTATCCAGTCCAGCTTCATTTCTTTAATATTCCCGACTTCCTTTCAGCCTGCTTACCTGTCTCTCACAGGACCCCGTTGGCCACGCTGATCACTTTTAATCCAATGCAGAGGAAGTGCTGCACTTCCCGAGCCAGAGTTGGTCAAAATTCTCCCGCTAACTTTCTTTCACCTTCAGGGCAACTAATTCAATCCCTGATACTTCAAGAGGCAGAAATTTGTCATTGTAATTACACTGTATATTAAAGCAGCTACATGACGTGTCACGCCATACTCCACGCCGCCTTTCTGTGCTGGTCCTTGCCTGATGCTCTCAGTGGAAATGGATATGCTCTTTCTAAGTACTTCTATTATTTCCCCTTCAAAAAGATTTGAGAGTGAGAGGGGTCTAGGGAAGAAACTTGTTTTCCTTCTGTGCACAGAAAGACTGAATAGGAGCATGAACCTCACTGCCAGTGGTAGGTCCTTGCACATGGAGACCAGCCTCACTGGTGGCCCAGCTGGACGGGCCATGTATTTTCTGGCCACAGCCACCTGCTTAAACTACAAATATCTGGACCACAATCTACGTTTTGGATATGGTCTGCCATGGCTATGTGTCCCTAGTACCATCAATTCAGAGAGGGCCACTGCCTGTGTGGTATCCACAGGTTGGTCCCAAATGAGACCAGCTCCAGGCTCACCTGCCACAAGTAAGGAGAAACTCCACCAAAATAAATCCTTAGCATTTCTTAATTTTACTAGAATGGCATTTTAAAAACCCCAGGACCCTCTAGAGCTAAGAAGCCCTCAGGGAGCTAGGAGATAGACTCTGACACCAGGAGATAAGTTGATTAAAAGACAGGATATATTATCATCCCTTTACCAGTAGGAACTGAGGCACACAAAGCTAAATGGCCGCTCAAAATCACGTTGGAGAGCTATGGAAAAATCGAGGAGAAATTGAACTTCAGTTTCCCTATTCCCCCTCTACTGATACTGTGTAAGATGACCCACACACAGCAAACTAACCCACGGCCTCTTGTACCCTTTGCCAAAGCCCGAGGTATCACCATTGAGAGGTATTTACTCCATAGCAGTGTATCTGACATGGCTCAGACTGTGAGTAGGCACCAATGCTTATGCCTGTGTCTATGAAATATGCCTGTTGAGATTGGGAAGTATTAGACTTGCTAAAATATAAGAAGGAAATGTTGTCATTACCACAGCAAAGTTTCTTAGAGATGTTTATGAATTTTTCTTTGCCAGTAGGCAGCCTCACATATCACCACACCAAATTCAGTAAACATCTGTGTCTCTTTGAAGTTGCTGCAAAAATCTGCTCATGAAGTGCGGCACTGAGAAACTGCTGTTTTAATTAAAATGTTTTAGAGGGGAATTAAGGCCTCTGCAAAAATAATGACTAATAAAACGTGAAGTCAAATTAAGAGCTGGATGCAGCTAACCTTCATTGTTTCAGTGAACCAAATTGAAAACAATAATAAAAAAATTCAGCCAGCCTGGAGTCACAATGATCATGTGTTTCAGTGATATGCACAGTAACGCAGCGTGTAGCACGGAGATGTCAGAGCTGCTTACCTTGGCCGATGGAAACCCAATGCCTTTCAGTGGTGGAGTGAATGGGTCCCATATTCTCATGAGACACTGAGTCATGCCATTCCCTGCACAGTGTTAAAAGTAATTTACATCAACAGAAGAGAAAGTTGAAATTCCTGCTTTCTGGCAGAAGTCTAGACAGAGACATGTCAGGGAAAAAAGAAAAATATTTGTAAATGCATCAAAGATAAACTTAGATTTATGTCAGTGTTTCTTCTTCAGATATGTGAAACCAAGTTATGTAAATCTAAAATGTATAAGTTGAAAAAAAAAACTGAAAAAAGTAGCAACCATCTGCCTATTGACTCAGAAAATCTAGATTATGTGCTTCTGTCCAAAAATCTCTGGTAATAAAGAGCTCAGTGTGGTATGACTTGATATTGCTTTGAATATGCTACATGCTATATTTGAAGAAAAAAAGACCCATGGAGAAAGTCCTCTCCTATGGCCAACAATTATGAACAGCATGATACGCACCCAAATTTGGTATCACATAGAGGAAGGACTGTGAAAAATCACTGAAGGTGATACAGTTTATGATGAGTGATGCTCTTATCAGACCTATTGATTGACCATGAACGGAGTTTGCAGTTACTTTCAGTGGTGTATTTCTTGTACATGTTCCTGTTATAAAATGATAAGTTACATTCCTAACTCTCCTCATTTGCCACTTTTCTGTTTCACTGTATGGGCCAAATATAATTACAGGTCATAGAGATGTCATGGAGATAAACATACATTGGCTTGGAAAGCCCATCCATTTCATCTAAAGGTGGCAGTGTTTGTTTCTTCTTCAGTGGCAGGATGAATATTGTGGCCTAAAATGAGCTTCTTTTTCATCAGTACCTCAGTCACATCCCAGTAAGCAGGGTTTAGAGCTTGCCTGACAAAGAAACGGGTCATGCTTCTTTGCTCGGTATTCTATTTTTTGTCAGAGAAAAATAGAAACACATTCCACAAATAATCTTTCAGGTAGACAGAAGGAGATGTGTGTACAGGGCAGTTGGTTTAAGGCTGTCAACACTTTTTCTAGTTCACCGGTTTGAATTCAGATCATAGCCCTGACACATATTTATGGTTTCTTCTCTGAAATGCTCACACAGTCAAAACACTTAACTTCACAAATATTTATACTTTATCAAACTATGCCACTCTGAGGAAAAGAAACTGAATCCTCTGCTTTGCAGGTAAGAAACCAAGACTCCTAAGACCTGCCCAAGGTTATGCTAAAAATCTGCAGCAGAGACAGCAGTAGAGCTGAGGACTGCTGGATTTTAAGTCGTCATTGCAGATGGTTCATCTACAGTTCACATCAGTGCAATTTCACTGACAGCAAACCCTGGCTTTTAGCTCAGGTCACAGACAGCAGAATTAGGGTGCCTGCAGTCAAGTGTGGACAATCATCTGCAAGCACCAACTTCTCAGAGCTTGTTCACCTCTCTTCACAGAATCACAGAATCACAGAAATTTAGGGGTTGGAAAGATCACCTAGTCCAACCCCCCTGCCAGAGCAGGACCACCTAGAGCAGGTCACACAGGAATGCTCAGCTGGGATTTTCAAACCAGTGGAACATGGAAGACCACCGCCAGATCTACTATATCTTCTGTTCCCACAGGGACACTGCAACACAGGCCTGCCCTAATTTGGGTTTGTGGCTCCTTAGTAGAAGATGCTTCGAGCCTTTCAGAGCAGAGCGGAGATAGAAAAAGGCACAGAAATGGCTGTGCTTATCCCTGATGGGCTGAGAAACAGTTGTAGCCAACAGTCCTTCTTTTGGAGGTCACGGTTTCTCAGAGATGCTCATCTGATTGATAGAATGGTTTTCATGTAAAAGTGGACTTTGAGCGGAGAAGGCACATGTCCCCTCACACCAGAAAGTGCCTCAACCAGCCAACAAGATCTTGTTCTCAGCTGAAAAATGTGAGCACCACTGCCAGGGGAGAGGATACTACACAGGATAACTAAGTCACGGGGGAAAAAAAAATCACTTTATTTTTGACAAATATTCATCTCTGGACGCAGTTGGCAGATCTTTGATAAAATCTTTTGCTGTTGTTCAACAAATACCTCTAATTCCTGAGTGCAGTTCAGAAGTGTACAGAGGTCTTTCCCACACGACAGGCTTGGGTATGACATCTTTTCATCCAACACTCAGAGTCAGATAATTTTTGTTTTCCCACCATCTGGCAATATAGTCAAATTTGTATGACCAGAAGCAACATACATGTTTGAGCATCAGGCTGCTGACCTGCTTCCCATTATTTCTCATCTGCTTTCTTTGTCAGAGGTCTGTCCATGATTCCATTAGAAATTAGGGCTAGAGGCCCACCTAGACTTGAAGCAAACTACCCATAACCTAAAATATTGCCCAAGGGAATATGCAATTTCTTCCTCCCGCCTGCCATTCCTCTTCATTTCCTATTTCATTTCATTTTCATTTCATCTCATCCCCTCTCTTTCACACCACTTAATTATCTTCATCCATCTCAGTCTTTTATCACCACTGCTGCCCCACAGACTAAAGAAAAACAGCTGTGCTGTCAAGATCCAATTCAAGGAGCTGCTCC